ACATCATAGAATCTGATTATTCTATTAATTATATTGCAAAAGATTAAAGATTAATAAAAGATTCTAATTAGATATTTTGAATATTTTTCATTCAAAATTTTTTAAGTAATAGGTATAAAATCTTTTTTTGGAAATTCGCCATTTTTAAAGTTCTAGTACGCTCTCTCCTTGCAGAGTTTTTCAATTATTTTTAACAATTATAATGCTAAATTTGAAAACAAAGAAATTACAGTTCTTTAAAATTACAAAATTATGAAATTGCCCCCCCCCCCTTTCCGTATTTTTATTTACGTCACTATAATTATTTTAATCGATGGAACTTTTTCTAAAATTGATCGGGAATTCTAAAACTTTTAACTACAATTCTGCTTCTTTTTGCTAAATTTTAAAATAAAGAAAGTCAATTTCATAAAAGTGTTGCATGTACATAAAATTTACATTACCGCACATATATAAATTTACAATGTTGCACGTATATTAAATTTACAATATTGAATTTGCTTCAAAAAAATAACGACGCGCTTTATAATCCATTTTGATAAATAAACGATCTGATTATATAATAATCGGCACTTTTTTATTGTGTAGAACGCGAATTTCAAGTGATGATTGGAGAACGAGCTATCATGTCCAAGTATTCAAGATACTAATTAACCCTAATTGACCGAACAAGAGGAGGAGACAATGCATAAAAACTGTGTGAAACACAATTGAGATAAAATATTGCAAACATTCGTGAAGCTGCATTTAATTCTTAAGTTTCAAGGGAATTTTATTTAACTTTATGATGTGAAGATACTGTGTGTGTGTGTGTGTGTGTGTGTGTGTGTGTGTGTGTGTGTGTGTGTGTGTGTGTGTGTGTGTGTAACAATACTAAATGCATAATACTAAGCGTAAAAAACTTTCTATTAAGAAATTCTCTATTTTGGAAATGATTTTGAACGTTTCTTTAAACAAATACAATTATATATTTTCTTAGCGGCAATTAAAAACTGAACTTTTCGCGATTGTGTAGAGTACACGCTGCTCAGGCATGATCAAAGTGCAATTTCTAGTCGAGCTCGCAAACCGTGACGTGTCCGGTTTCGTCGGCAAAATTTTCAGCGTCGAGGTATATTTTTACAATCGCGTGTTTACAGAATAAATTTGCATAGGGTTAATGTCGAGAGAAATTCCGCGCTTAGAGTGCAAAACGCGCTCGAGGAGTGGTAAAGCGCCTTTGTGCTGCGATATCATATTCGCGGTTGTTGGCCGTTAATTTACATACAACCAAAGAGAGCAAGGTACTGGCAGGAGGCTTCAGTGTACCGATGCGAGCAGCGTTGCAAGCCGAATGGTTGCATCTTGAATCAGACGTTGTTTGCATTGAAGAATTGCATCGCGAATAATAGCGTCTTTGTAATAAAGTCATAAAAATAAAAAAAGTTACGAGTATCAGTTCGTTCCAGTCATTGGTTATCTATTTCCTTTTTCTTCTTATATTTATCTTTCATTCTATTTTCAAATGGTGATTTTATCGTAATAAATTATCGCCTCGGAACGAAATGTAACCCGCTTGTATTACCCGTTTGATCCGCGTGAATTCACGCGTATACGCGAATTGAAGAAAAATAAAAGGAACTTAAATCGAGTCGAACAAACAAGATCCATTACGTTCTGAATTTCGTTCGTTGTTCGAGTAATGCAAGCATTCGCTTTCTTTTTTTTTTTTTTTTTTATTCGTGTTTGCAGATATTTGATAGTGCTGCGTCACAGCGCAATTTTTCCTAATCGATAATGCACGAGCGTTCACGGACGCGCTCCGGTAATCCATTATCCACGCTATGTTATCACGATAAACTTTCGCGTCACGGTTTCATAATCGCTCCGGGGGCCGGATTATGGATGAATGACTTAATTTTTATGTAACCGCCGAAACGCAACGAACGTTGTCATAAGCATGAGAGGTAAACGGCGAACGTAATGTCAAAAGAATCTGTTTTAAAGAAGGAACGAATCTTCCCAAGAAACGTCCCGTACAGCACGCCGAGTCAATATTCCTGCAAAATTACAAGATTGACTTTACCTTGGTACGTGTTATATTGATTTTGACGTAAACAATCAGCGACACACCCATAAAAATCATACGAGAGGAAGAATATTGAAAAACACGATGCAGAAATTGAAAAACATGATGATAAAAGGATAAACCGTTTATTTCAAGATGACTCTTGCAGATATTATCACGAGGTAATAAAGCTATGATACGACGATTATAAATTTTCGCGTACCTAATTCTATTTAACGATGTGAGCATCGTAGAAAGAAACATAAATTGTAATCACCGGAGATTTTATCGTACAGTTTATAAATACTTATAACATGTACCTAACATATATCTGTAATAATAAAGTTTCCTCTTATGCAAAGTGCATATAACGCGGGAAAATAAATAAAATAACTAACATTTAATTGTGATTAAACCGATAATATTACCTGTTACATTTCTATGATAATGCCTTCAAATCGTCACGTTTTATTAACACACCATGAATAGCTCCAATATATTCATGTTTTTAAGAGAACAAATTATAGATGTAAGACGCTCTAAAATAAATGTTGTATATAAGCCTAATTATACTTTTAAATCCGTGTATTAAATATCATATATTTGCCATTGCCAGTCATATGATTATTACACGTGGTATTTTGTCAGATGAGACTTGGAATAGCATTAGCATAATGCGTTTATCGCGAGTGACCTCGTGTCGCGTGTCTATTGCTTCGTACAGGATTAAAGGCAATTTTAATTTTCTTAAATTCATGATCAACATACGAAGGCAATTAGTTTCGCAGTTCGTCAAATGTCACATATCTTTAATATTTATTCATACTTTTTAATTTATTATTAGTAAAGAAAGAAGAATTTTATGCAAAGGATTAAGAGAAAAATGATATTGAATAAAGTAAGTTAAATTCACACTAAAGTTGAATTATTCTTGAAAGTAAGTTATTATTTATATTTACATTATATATTATATTTTAATTAATTAAATAATGTAAATTTTAAGATGATTCATGTACGTGATAATGAATTATTCTATTGTATCGTCGATAAAAATTTCCGAGTCATTATTCTTTTATTTGATTATCTTTTCGATTTATATAAAACTGAAAAAAATTTTTTTAAAGTCTGTCAATGATATTCACATACAGCTGTGAATACATACATTTTATAAAAATTACAGAGCATTACAAAGCAATTATTTCCAGCAATGTACATAAAGCAGAATCTTCTTCGGCTCAGCGAAATCTTAAAGAAATATTACGATTCAAATTACAACCTCTCGACTATTTTACGATTAACTATAGAGAAAGGAAGAAAAATAAATAAAGATACTCGTGTAAAACGCCGTGCGGATGCATTTCCACATCGTCGCAGTATCGAGAGAAACTACATCCTCGGCAAAGTCAGCGTCAAATAAGACGCGCATATATTACAGTTCTTTTGCAGTTAAAAATGGCAATCCCGATGTTACGACATCTTGGATTTTTTATGAATGTTTTGATGCCTCGGCGAACGTGCATCATGGGTGAACGATACGTTAGCTTAAAAGCGATAGTAAAAGATTTTTCAGGATCGAGCACGTTTGCAGGTGCATCGCGTAAAATCAAGTGAGACCAAAATAATATACATGTGCATCTCAAGATGAATATCAACAAACTGCAGATATACTCATATGGTTTGTATGTACGCACATCTGTGCATACAATTTATTTAATTAATCAAAACTAATTTAAAATTTTTTTTTAACCGTAAATCTTTTTTTATTGCTTTGTACATCTGCTTTTTCTCGAAAGAAAATTGATCGCGATGGTTTGATGGATATAAAATTGATACACGTCGTAATTTTTTTGCTAATAAATTTTAAAAATCCGTTAGACAATTACTATTCATTACGTAACAATGTAACAGAGACAGTGTTAAGTACGGTGGCACGGGGTAAATGAAAATGTCTAGTACCTGCATTTTACCAGACCGCACGCGACGTGCCTTTTAATCACGTCGACAAGTCTAATTGCTCCGCTTTGATTGCGTGGAAAGGAAGCGCGGCTAATGCACTTTCGATTGCCACGAGTGTTTTTCCATCGGATAGCTCGCGATATGAGACGCACCCAACGTTAGCTTAGCAATAACATCGGTATCAATAAACGAGGCGGCTCCGTTCCCAGATAAAAAAAAAATAGAATGCGCAGACGGATATCTTGCTGGCCGGAAAATCGCTTTTCTCTCTCTCGATATCCCATATCTGTACCACGTACGTCTATCTGCGCGTAAATGTACGACCTATCAGGAGTCTATTTTATTTGAAAGATTGCGTTTTATCGTGACATATTGTTCAGTTTCCAAGGGATACTTTTATCAGCATTTGAATTTCCTCTTTCGATCTTTTTGGATTTCTACTCAATGACTGAATATAATATAGACTTACCCTCATACATATACATATTTTTTATTCATATATAATACATCCCGTTGAATCATAACAAAAATATAAAAAGAAGTTTTGTCGGATTATTTATTTTTTAAGTAAATTAATAATCATATCGACTAAAATTTAAAATTTTTAATATTAGAAAATTATAATACGTACAATATATATTATTTAAAGTTTATATATAAATAAAAAAATAGTAAAAAAAAAATAATTAATAAATGACAATTGAAATAATAATTTTATTTTTTATTATTAAATATCTCAAAATAATTTGGATAAAAACAAAGAAAGAAATAGTTAAAATTATTTAAATGCGTTTGGCTATAAAAATACATTTTTATATTAAAGATATTTGTCTTAAGAAAACATTTTTGTTTCGTTAACAATATTTAGCAATGTTAATTGTTGTAGTTTGTATAAAAATAAAAATTTGTTATTTTTCTGGCGTCTCCTTTTAAGAAAGATATAATTTGTACTATGTTAAATGACCAGAGAAATAATAATGGTAATACTCATTAGTGACTAGTTAGGGCATTTACTCCTCTGTTTAAAAATAAAATAGAGGGAACAACGCGCTATATAAGCGTTATTTTCTTCGTCTTCGGTTATGCAGCCACTGTGTATATCTGATGTTTCCGGTGGATTTTCCCCTTGATGTTTGCATGACATTCGTCGTCGTAGCTGGCATTTATGGCACCGCATCGACGCCTGTTTCTAGAAGGAGGATCGTTCAGCGGCGATTAGCAATGAAATGTACGTATTCGAAAGCAAAAGTTAATGTGACATGTATAATTGTCATAGATCTTGCTTTGCTTGTGCAATTTTCTCATTCGCGATGAATTACAGCTTGAAACTCAGGATGCGTCTGTTTGCTCGGTTGTATCGTCTTCATGTATAACTTATATTCTTAATTTATTTTACTTTATAGTAAAAGTTTAATAAATAATTATCATTTAAATGGCTTTTCGACCATTTAAACTTAAAATTGCAATACGCGTCGAATATCTTTATTTTTCATCTAGCAGAGAAATGAGAGATATCCGTAACGACCTGAATACAATGAGCGCGAAAATGCAGTTCTGCTTGGTAATATTGAAAAAAAAGCTGTTCCACAACATGCGGGGAATGTAATTGCAATTTCTGCAAAAGGCTTTCTCTTCTCGCCACCCGGAAGAGTCGCGCGCTCGTTTGGTTTACGAATGTAACGCGATATTCCACGACAGGATTGAGAGAGCCGTACGAATTCTCTGCTGTAGGAATTTATTTTGATGCCTACGTCACATACGAAGATAGAAATAAACCGCCTCGAGCGGACAAACTTGTATTGTACTCCGATAAAGAAGAGATGCCTTTTTTTACGTCTGTCTTTACGTCACCAGCGGTGAGATTTCTGCCGGGGGCCACCGTTTCGGAAATCGAGCACGACGCGTCCGAGGTCCTCGCCGAAGAAGATGAAGAAGAGAAGAAAGTTCGCCGAATAAGTGGCGCGCAGCTTTCGAAAGCGAAAGTCTTCGCCGTGCGCTTTCTCGCGCGCACGTTCACGCGACAAAAACATTGGGCAACCGGATGCTCCGTAGCCCTGGCCACGAAAATCCGCCGAGCTCTTCTCCCCCGTTCTCTCGGCCTGCCGGCCTTGACGAGTTTCGCGGCTCCACGAGAGATTCTATTTTCAAATGTGCCCATCGCCGCCGTCGTGCCCCGCGGAGCGACGCGTCCAGCGAGGAAGAACGCGTTCGCGTTCCTTTTTGCTCTTGCGAATTCTTTCTTCGGAAAGTCAAGAGAGCAAAACGGGAAATCCTCCGCCTCCGCCGGATATTTCTGATTATTAATCTCTTTATTAATTTCTCGATTCTTGTAATAAAACTGATAACGTTGTCCTTGAGAGGAGGAATTCTACATTTTAATGTCGAGGAAATAATTTTAATCTCAATGTTCAAACAGAAAAAACATGAAAATCACTTATTTTAAACGTCGAGATCTTTGCGACTTTGCGAAAAGAATAGCTTAAATCGTTAGTCGGTGAAACATGTTATCTACAAGCAAAAAGCTACAATTGCACTTCTATTATGCTGCGTATATCTTAATTACTAGATGACAACGGTAGTGTAAATTTCAACATTACAATCTGCACTTTTGCAGAATGACAATAAGAATTTCGCTTATTTGTCACGGATTTATTGTAGGTATACTTGGCGCGGAAACGCGAGCAATACAGCTCGATGGAGCAATGTGTATCTTGATCGCACGGAGAATGAGAATTGGGTGTCAAGGGCCGCTCTCGATTCAACGCTTTTATACGCTAAACGCTATTGTCACTGACATTTACGAGCTTGCCGGCGCGCCGACGTTTTTTAGGCCTCGCGTTTACACGCTCCCGCACACGATGGCGGGAATCGAGACGATTAAAGTTCGAGTTGGTGGAGTTTAATTGGATGGTCGGAGCTAGAATAGAAGCGTACAGTAACGAGGAGGTAATTAAGCAATTATCGTGGTAGAGGCACTCCGCTTCTTCTGGACAGTCGGCTCTACCGATGCAGGCGACTTACTGCACCGACTTCAGAAACTGCTGCGAGCCGGAAAAGTCATAAAAATTTGGTGGCTACTTTCGCTACTTTCGCGATAAATTGCAGGAAACATTCTTAGATGATATATAGCTTTCTTTCTAACAACGATAAATCATATTACGTGCGAGCTAAAGATCTTTTCGTGAAAATATCTCTTTAAAAATTGCGCAATACATATATCGTTCTTAATTTGCGTATCGCGAATCAAGATGTGAAAACACAAGTGTTTCCAAAGTGGCCACCAAAGTGTGCGTATAATACGAGCGTGAAAGGCTAAAAAGATTGGCAAACTTCTGAGACCGGCAACAATGCCGGTGGAAAATGACGGGGCTGAAATATCGAGGAGCGAGTGTGTGTGTGTGTGTGTGTGTGTGTGTGTGTGTGTGTACACCTCGTAGTCGCGTCTGAAAAGGAAACCGCGCGATGGCAAAACCTCGAGCTCGGCCGAGAGTGTAGGTTCGCCCGTGGTGTGCCTCCTTGGTGTGCGCACCGCAGGACGAGAGTTATATCGTGCACCACGCGTGCGCGGAACGCGGGCGCGACGAGGAAAAAGTCGCCAGCACACGTGCGTGCGTGGGCAAACAACGGCGGCAGAGCATGGCCGCTTATGTGCGTGCATGCGTGCGGGATTACCTATGCGCAATGGGGGAATTTCACGGGGCGCGAAATCTCCGCCGAGATACGGGACACGGGAGCACGTGGGATCGTGTTTCGCGCGACAGGAACGGGAGGAGAACTTACCAGCCTCGCGTTTAGCCGCAAAACTCGCAAAAACGGTTAACACTTTGCGGTAGCGGCCGCCTCATTGGTGTAACTCACTCTTATACCATTGAAAAATCCTTGCGGTCTGCAATCGCGACGAATCGCGTTTGAAGCGATTCCGCGAATCCGCGATGTTAGAACAAAAGGATCGACGATTGTGCTAATTAAATATTGAGAAATCGCTCGTTCGTGGAACGCGTTTTTCAGCGAGATACAGATCGATCGGCTTCGGCACTTCTTTCGAGAGGCACCTTTTCGGAGGGTGGGCGTTCGGCCTTGGACGCCAGATAAAAAATATATCATTCGCGCATGAAGCATCTGCCGAGAGATAAAACTTTATTTACAGTACGTATTTACGTTGGAGATAAAACGCGAAGTATCTCGGCGTTCTCGGCGGAGGCCTGGTGCGTGCCGGCATTTCTTACCTGATCGGAATAGGAACATTACAACGTTCAGAAACGGTACGCGAGCGTGTGCGAATTTGTAGGCTCCCAGGAAGACTATAATTACGCTTCCTACCGCGTATAATGCGAATCGCGTGTAAATGAAGAATAAGGAATGAGTCATTTAGTTTGCAGAAGTTGAAGCGACTTCGTTATTAGGTTGCTCTTATTATAATTCGTTATTTTTTCCTACATATGACCTTAAGATATTTATTGCATTAATAATATAAGTTACGTATCGAGCATTTGATGAAAGTTAGATGAATTTTTATTTTAATAGAAAGAAAATGTAAATGCGTGACAAATTTAGTTTTTGTTTTAGATGTATTGAATAATTTATTCTGGTAAATTGGCACTTGATTCTAAAAATTTTTTCATTTTATTTTAAGATATATTCGTCCGTGCAAATTATTTCTTGTGTCAAGAAATATTTTAATTTTCTCCATCTATAAACTAGCGATTAATTCAATTTTATTCATAATGTAAATTACAAGGGCATTGAAAATTCAATCATTTTCCAATCATTTTTGCGCTTATAACTATCGGATATCAGAATTATTATCTCGTGTCTTTCGTAATATTTCCATTGCGAAATAATTTTTTTCCTAAAACGGATTTCTTTACTCGTGAAACGAAACGCGTGAAGTCGAACACGGTATTTCTAAGGCGAGAAACGCGTGTAGGCGGTATACGATAGTTGGAAAAATAGATCCGCGTACGCACTCGTAGAAAGCTAAAAATACAATGAGGTTGCCAGCTAAACGTTGCCATCGATCCACGCGCGAAACTTCAGCCTCGCCCGTATGTTCTCGATTGAAGTGTAATCTCTTCCGCGTCCATATATGGGGTGTGCACAGAGTGGTTTAATCTCTTACAGAAGGCCGGCCATTCAATGTATTTTTCACGCGCTTAACTGCGCTTTGTAAAATTAATGAGCATGACTCTGATCCGTTCGAACGCGTCAAAACATAGCGGCCGATCGAATGGCTCTTATAATTGTAAATAACCTCGATTTTCTTGACACGCGTACTGACATTGATGATCCTATTCTCAACGTGCAATTACAGTATCTATTTATATGCTCCACATTTGCTTGTTAACCGCGTGTGTAAATACAGCATTATTGAGAGAGAGAGAGAGAGAGAGAGAGAGAGAGAGAGAGAGAGAGAGAGAGAGAGAGAGAGAGAGAGATCGGTCATCGTCAATATCAATAGGCGACATTTTCGTTTTGAATATTGCACTGTATTAATTCCGCAATGAATGCAATATATTGTATCAATCTGCACGCTTCAATTAGTTTGAAATGCACAATAATTGGCACTGTAAATCGGCTTTATGCGATACACTTGGTACCGGAAGACTATCTATACGCTTATTGTTACCTCGTGATTTATAGCTAACAAGCATTCGCTATCGATATTTATTGCACTAGCTAGAATAATGCGTTGCGATAATATATACAATACAAGTTTTACTTTCTTTATACTTTTATTTTTTTGTTATTCTATTCAAAAGTTACTTCAACTCACGTTGCGTTCTATGCGCGTAAATTCGAAACCACAATTTAATTTAAAAATTATTCAAATTTTTTAAATTAAAATTTGCCCTCTTTCTTGAACTGAAAAATTCGGGAGATATTCTAGAATAGATATCTAGATATTTTAACTATTTATCAACAATAATGTCGTAATTAAAAGAAACTTTAAGAGATGCCGGCGAGGTAGGCGGCGGTGTTTTTGTAATTAAATGGGAGATAAGATACATGCGGAGATAAGATTGCGAATTTGTCTGCATTGCATACGAGGCATTCGATCTGAGACCGCATCCCGTTCGAAAGGGAAAAATGTCCGAAAATGCAAAAATATCAACGCGAGCCGCTAGATTAACTTGATTGCGACTGCGATAAATCGGCTTTGCACGCGGGGTCAACCGGACCCCGGAAGAC